GAATGCACTTTATGGCTCTTCTTTGGCATGTCCAAGTTGCCTGCATCACTACTCTTGCACTTTGAAGCCATTATTAAGTAAACTATGGGTTACTTGGATCCAAGTACTGCAATACCTAGACAGTCAATCTGATAAGCCTGACAGCTACTAAGCCACTAACGGCTGGGGAGCGTCTGCAGCATGGCTAGGCTGCACAAAGGAATGATTCATGTCCTGGGTTGGACAAAGCAAATGGCAAGAGATTTTATCATGCCACTCAGAATGGCATGCAATTTAAACCTATAAATTATTTTTATCTGGGATTTTCTATTTAATATATTTGGCCCACAAGAAATTGAAACAATGAAAAGTAAAATGTCAGTAAAGTGGGGACTACTGCTTCCAAATTTCTAAACCTTCTTTTATTAAAAATTGCATCCTGGTCCACAGTTCCCCACTAACCACCCTGTCTCCAGTGAGATGGTGACACCCGCAATGCCCTGCCTGAAAGAGTCAATATTATTGACAACTTTTCATTCTAAATTTCAGTGTCTGTATTCTGATGTACAATTAATTCCATGGACTATGTAATGTGCAGTATACATTAGTAAATGTTATATTTAACTTTTACATATCTGCTTATCTGATGACAAATATATCTAGTGAGAAGAAAAAAAATGTAAAGAAATCTAGACAGGAACAGAGCTCAATTTCCAAAATGTCCAAAGACACAACAGAGACAAATACATTCGAGCACATGGTGAAGAAAGGTGGCTAGCCATTATGGACTCAATTATTTTCCAACAAAATTCATATGCTGAAGTCCTGACCCCTAATATGGCTGTATTAATTACCTCCTTAAAGTTAAGTTAAATTCGGCAGGGTGCAGTGGCTCACACCTATAATCCAAACACTTTGGAAGGCTAAGGCGGGGCAGGGGGGTGGATCACTCGAGGTCAGGAGTTTGAGACCAGCCTGGCCAACAAGGTGAAACCTTGTCTCTACTAAAAACACAAAAAATAAGCCAGATGTGGTGGCGGGTGCCTGTAATCCCAGCTACTCAGAAGGCTGAGGCAGGAGAGTCACTTGAACCCAGGAGGCGGAGGTTGCAGCAAGCTAAGATTGTGCCATTGCACTCCAGCCCAGGCAACAAGAGAGAAACTCCATCTCAAAAAAAAAAAAAAATTAAGTTAAATTCAGCCATAAGGGTGGAGGACTAATTTGATAGAAATGATGTCCATAGAAGAGGGAGAGATCCCAAGGATGTGTGCACAAAGAGAAAAACCATGTGAACACACAATAAGAAGGTGGCCATCTGTAAGCCAAGGAGAGAGACCACAAGAGAAACCAACCCTGCCAACAACTTGATCTTGGACTGTGAGAAATACATTTCTCCAGAGCTGTGAGAAATGCATTTCTGTTGTTTAAGCCACCTAGTTTGTGGTATTTTGTTATAGCAGCTCTAGATGACTAAAATCCTGGCTATAGAAAAGTGACTTGCAGCTGACAAGCAGTGCTACCCAAAAACAAGAGCTAAAATGCCGCAGCCTAGGTCACAAACAGGAAGCACCTAGGAAGCGATGTGTCCTGGAGCAAAAGCACTGGACCAGGAGATGGCCAACACCGTGCAAATCTCTACTCTCCCAAAGCCTCTATTTCTTCAACTGCAATAATGTAAGAATTGGTTGGACAAGGTGGTCTCTAATACCTTTCCTTTCCTTTCATTGAATAACTGAGAACCTGTGGCAATGCTCACTGTCCAGGACCCTCCTCTGAAAGAGCTGATCAGTAGGAGAAGGATAATTACTGTGCAGCTACTGTACTGAGCAGCATGTCCAGGTAGCACATAATGAGAAGTTATAGGGGAAACAGAAGTGTCTATAGCTTACAATCTCTTCAGAGAACTAGAAAAGAGCCAAGCATGGTGGCTCAAGCCTGTAATCCCAGCACTTTGGGAGGTCGAGACAAGGCAGATCACCTGAGGTCAGGAGTTCAAGACCAGCCTGGTTAACATGGTGAAACCTCTTCTCTACTGAAAGTACAAAAATCAGCTGTGCATGGTGGCACATGCCTGTAATCCCAGTTACTCAGGAGGCTGAAGCAGGAGAATCTTGGATTGAACCCAGGAGGTGGAAGCTACAGTGAGCTGAGATTGGGCCACTGCACTCCAGCCTGGGCAACAGAGGGAAACTTCGTCTCAAAAAAAAAAAAGAGAGAACCAGAACAAATACAGGTGATGAAAACTTCAGCGTATGTACAAAGCAACATAAGACCAGGCACAGTGGCTCACGCCTGTAATCCCAGAACTTTGGGAGGCCAAGACGGGTGGATCACATGAGGTCAGGAGTTGGAGACCAGTGTGGCCAACATGGTGAAGCCCTGTCTTCACTAAAAATACAAAAATCATCTGGGTGTGGTAGCACATGCCTGTAATCCCAGCTTCCTGGGAAGCTGAGGCAGGAAAATTGCTTGATCCTAGGAGGCAGAGGTTGCCATGAGCTGAGATCACACGATTGTACTTTAGTCTGGTTAACAGGAGCAAAACTCAAAAAAAAGGAAAAGAAAGTAAGAATATTGGGCTTCCATATGGAAAGGTTCTTAATGTAAAGGGAAGCACAGTAATCCCAAATTACTGTGAGAATATACATAATCATAATCTACTAGTGAGAATGGTGTCATCTAACCATATTTTGGAACAAGTGTCACCCTTCGAAATCAAACAGTATCTGTTCAAATACAAGGCAAACAATAATTCATCTGCCTGGCTTTTTCTACACAGAACATAAATTGAGGTAACCACATCTGGAGAGATAATGCATTATGCTTTCATAGGACAGTTCTTTAGTGCAATTAAGTATATTTCTAGTCTAATTATCTATTTGATTTGACTTTTTTTTTTTTTTTTGGCAATTCATTAAACTGTAGCAAGGTCCCACAGAAGAAACAGATCTCCAAAATCAAAAAATATATATTCATGTTTGCCCCTTTAGTTCCAACTTTTGAAGTCTCAAAGTACGTATCACCAAAAAGTTCCAAACGCTCACTTTATATAGATGTCAATTCCAGGAAGCGGGTAAAAAAAATGTCAATTCCCTCCCAGATTGTTTTATAAATTCAGTAAAATACCCATCACTTAGAACATTTCACACCATGTTAAAAACAAAAAATAAAATAAATTTAAAAAGAAAGAAGAGACATCAAAATCCTAAAAAGGTTTTTAAGGGAACATGACAAGGGGATTCTAAAATTTGTATTATGTCAGATGGGTGTGGTGGCTCACGCCCGTAATCCCAGCACTTTGGGAGGCTGAGGTGGACAGATTATTTGAGGTCAGGAGTTCGAGATCACACTGGCCAGCATGGCAAAACCCTGTCTCTGCTAAAAATACACAAATTAGCCAGGTATAGTGGCATCCACCTGTAATCCCAGCTACTCAGGAGGCTGAAGCATGAGAACTGCTTTTGCTTGTGGGAGGCAGAGGCTGCAGTGAGCCAAGATTGCACCACTGCACTCCAGCCTGGGTGACAGAGTGAGACTCTTTCTCAAAAAAAAAAAAAAAAAAAAAAAAAAAAGGTATATTATACAATCACTTATTGACAAGGAGGTTTAGGATTATTTTAAAGTACTGCAACATAGTCCAGGTGCATTGGCTCCCAGCATTTTGGGAGGCTGAGGTAGGAGGATTAATTGAGGCTAGGAGTTCTAGAACAGCCTGGGCAACATAGCAAGAACCCATCTCTATAAAAAGTAAAAACCAAAAAAATTAGCCACGCACAGTGGTGCATGCCTGTAGTCCTAGCTACTAGGAGGCTGAGGAGTGGGGATCACTCTTGAGCCCAAGAGTTTGAGATTGCAACGAGCTATGATTGTATCACTGCACTTCAGCCTAGGAGACACAGCAAGACCTTGCCTTTAAAAATTAGAATTATTTTTTTTAATTGTACTTTAGGCTCTGGGGTACATGTGCACAACCTGCATCCTGCAGGATTGTTGCATAGGTACCTACATGCCACAGAGGTCTGCTGTCTCCATCCCTCCTGCCCCGCCCTGTCGCCTACATCAGGCATTTATCCCAGTGTTATCCCTCCCCATCCTCCTCACCCCCTGCTGTCCCTCCCCTTCCCTTCCCTCCACTAGCCCTGTGAGTGTTGTTCCCTTCCTTGTGCCCAAGTGTTCTCACTGTTCATTACCCATGCAATGTTTGGTTTTCTGTTCTTGTGTCAGTTTGCTGAGAATGATGGTTTCTAGATTCATCCATGTCTCTATAAAGGACACAAACTCGTCATTTTTAATAGCTGCATATTATTCCGTGGTGTATATGTGCCACATTTTCTTTGCCCAGTCTACCAGGGTTTTACCATGTTGTCCAAACGGGTCTCAAATCAGAGCTCAAGCAATCCACCCACCCTGGCCTCCCAAAATGCTGGAATTACAGGTGTGAGTCACTGCACCTAGCCCCGAATGTTTTTTTCCAAGAACAAATTTAACTTGGGTTCAATCCACTATATAAACGTCAGGCTATGATCAGAATTAAGAAAATTTCATTTCCTTCCACTTACAAAAGAGAAAGGTAAAAACAGTCACATAGTTGAAAATGCAAATCACTGTTATAATTTGTATTGCGCCCAAAAAGCTGTTTTTGCTTATAAGCATAGAATGCATACACATCACCTGCAAGTCATACATCAGTTACAGTCCTGTATATGCATGAAGCATCTTCATTATCCAAACATAAATAAAATGTGATCACAAAAATAAAATGTAAAGCTTTACAAGTGTTTCCATTGGTAGAACTTCTTGCCGAAGGATAAGTTAGCCAATTTACATGTCTCAGTAATTCAAGTAGTCTATTACGTTCAAATACTAACTCTTCATCAAAAACATCTTTTTAAAACTTTCCTTGGAAAGGTAAATCGCATGCACCATTTACTGAGTCCATTCAAGATGTGAGGAAACTGTCCCAGTGAATTGTAAATAGGCTGCCTAAAAGCTAAAAGGAATCTTACTTATCTAAGTCTTACCTGATTAAATTCTGGCAGACCTGGCATACTGGGGTACATCTAAATTAAAGAAATAAAACCTCTGTTAGTTTGTTGATGTATTTGAAAACATATTTAATCCATATAAAGTAAATATCTATACTTTTCCATGATCTAGAAACCAAGGTTTGCTGAAATTCATGTATCATGTTCCAAATATTCCCTTATGGCATTTACCACATATAATTACTGTAGCAACTATGATCTAATTAATACAACATTCAGTTTAGAACCAAAATACCTCAATTTAAATTTCATTGATTTATCAGTTACTCTAAGCCCCAGTTTTTACGTGGGAAAATAATATCTGCTTCATAAGAGTATTAAAATAATTATCTGAGATAATAATACGTAATGTGTCTACGGTACCCGGTAAAGTCAGTGTGTACAATAATGGTAGCTATTACAATTGCACTATGAAGATAACACAGCTACCTTGAGAATCAAGTAAGAAAATATATATATGGGCTGGGCATGGTGGTTCATGCCTGTAATCCCAGCACTTTGGGAGGTAGAGGTGGGCAGATCATCTGAGGTCGGGAGTTTAAGACCAGCCTGACCAACATGGAAAAACTCTGTCTCTACTAAAAACACAAAAAATTAGCCATTGTGGTGGGTGGCACATGCCTGTAATTCCAGCTACTTGGGAAGCTGAGGCAGGAGAATTGCTTGAACCCGGGAAGCAGAGGTTGCTTATAAATTCTCTTTATTAATTATAACTTATAATTATGCCAAATGTCCCTTATTAATTATAAATTATCTTTATTAATCTTTCTTTTTTATGATTCAGAAGAACATTACGGATTTAGGAGTTAGCATTATGGTCACCAGTTATATTTTTGGGCCAGACCCAGTGGCTTATAACTGTAATCCCAGCATTTTGGGAGGCTGTGGTGGGAGGATTGCTTGAGTCCAGGAGTCCAAGACCAGCCTGGGCAACATAATGAGACCTTGTCTCATAAAAAAGTAGCTCTGGGTGCTGATGTGTGCCTGTGGGCCCAGCTACTTAGGAAGCTCAGGTGAGAGGTTTGCTTGATCCCAGAAGGTGGAGGCTTCAGAAAGCCAAGATCATGCCACTGTACTGCAGCCTAGGTGACAGAGCAAGATCCTGTTTCAAAAAGTGTGTGTGTGTGTGTGTGTGTGTGTGTGTGTGTGTGTGTGTGTCAAGATGTATTAACAGAGAGTTCTAGTTAAAATAATGGAAGAAAAGGTAATGTTCATAAAATAAGGGTCACTCTAAGTTATTCAGAAATGAATATTCAGGACTTTTACTTTTTCCTGTTGCAGACTTTTGGGAAAGCCTTTTCTCAGAAGCTTTTTTTCAACAATAAATTGAAAATGAGAAGGAAAAAGATGTTATAATCAAGTCTATCAGATTTGTTTCTTATTGGGAGCTACAAAAAGAATCAATAAAAGAGAAAAACTTTTATCAATATTTAAAATAGTGAATTATCAACTTCTTCCTATGCAACATAATGAAGAAAACTGCCTAAAATCTACAATTCTGAGAATTTTACTAGGATCTAAGAAAAAGGTTGGCATAGAAGAAATAGCCATAATCATCCATTAACTATTATTTACAATCCCATAAGATAGAGACTTTTTTCACTTGTTAAAGTATACCATGCCTTGGAACATTCATGAAATTACAATCATTAATATCCTTCTTCAGTCTATGAGCTGATAAAAGACTTAGTAATTTTATCACTTCTTTTTGAGATTCAAGATTATTGTAAAAAAAGTTTTTTATTCACAGACACTAAAGGAGCCACCTGAATCAATTTGCATTCTATTATAGCCACCATCACATGATGTCATAAAAGATGAAGGGGAAAAACAAGGTTATCTTGGCGTACTATAAACATTTTGTAAGCAGGTAAAATGAGAATTTCCAATCACAGGACTTACAAATCATAGGTAATTCAGTAAGGGTGGGACTAGTAAATATTTAACAAAGGCAAGGAACACTATTCCAGGCATCCCCAAAGAACTAGAATTTCAAAAACCTTACCATGCTACACTTCATAAGCACATAGTTATGAGTTCTAAACTTTACAGGAATATAAGGCCTAATGCACAAACAAATCTAAAAATAGAGTGGTTCCCTTAATTAAAATATTGCTCTTCTATTTTCCTTTTAATTTATTTTTCCAAGAGCAATGTCATTCAATCTTAATTTCACAGACCTGATTACCCAGAGGAATTTTCCATAGCCCTTTCTTCCCCTATCTTTCACTAGTTGCTTTTTTGACCTTTGTTCTGCAAGTAGAGCTTCCAAAGCGTTGTCAAGAACTCAGTAGTCTAACTCAAATCATTCCATTCTGCTGCTGATTATCTGCTCAATCCAAAAGCCTACAGGTGCTCGCTTCGGCAGCACACATACTAAAATTGGGACAATACAGAGATTAGCATGGCCCCTGCACATGCAAATTCATAAAGCATTCCATAAAAATAAATAAATAAAAATAAAGTCTATGGAAGGAAAATGGAACTGAAATTGCCTGTTCGTCTAATCTGAGCACAGTGTACTAAAATATACCAGTCACTATTTGCCACAGATATTTTAGTTGGGGATAAAAAACATTCGCAACATTTTGAATGCTCAATATTCAGAAATTGTAAACAATTTATTCCAACCCAGAGAAATGGATGTAAAACGAGATATTTCCGTAACATCTATCCCCTCATCAAGAGGAACAGAAGCATCAAGTAGAATAAAATTCATGACAATATTAACAGTGATGGCATTAAGAATAACTTGTTTATACTTCGTTAAATTCCTTAAACATATTTATCAAGAGCCTACTATGTGGCAGGCACTGTCACAGACACTGGAGTAATAGTGAGGTCCCTGTCCTTCCCAGATTTTCTACAACAATCATGTAATATTTTTATAAAGTGAAAGAAATAAACACTGAAAATTCTAACTTTATAGATATAATCATATCTTCTAAACAAGTCATATTCCTAAGTTTCTATAAACAGTCCTTCAGGTAGTGTTGCTTTTAAAAGAAGAATGTAATTGAAAATTTTACCTGTGAGGATTTTTTGAGCTGGGTATGACTGTGCTACATTCTCTCTTGTCAAATACTCCTTCAATCCAGGATTTCTGGGACTAAAAAGAAAGTGTCATTATTTTCTACTTTAATTATGTGACAAAACAGTGTAACCATAATAGTTCCAGGAGGTAAGAAACACTTAAGTATCATGAAGGCTAATTAAAATGCCAAGACCAATCCCACACAGGCTAAGCATTTACCAATTTCTATTACAGACAGCATAGGCACAAATAAGCCTAAATGTTTAATGTGAACGTTAAACAACACACAAAGTTAATATGCCCATAGTCTCACTTTGAGTAACAAAAGCCCTACCTGAACAAACCTCTAGCAAGCAAGTAAAGATGTAACTGATGTATCGTCTTAAATAAAAGTCACTTTTGTATCTTGTACCATAATCCTCTGGAATAAATACCAAGCTCCCTAAACTTCAAAAATTTTTTTTTTTTAGACGGGGTCTCACTATGTTGCCCAGGCTGGAGTGCAGTAGTTATTCACAGGCACGATCCCACTACTGATCAGCACGGGAGTTTTGACCTGCTCTGTTTCTGACCTGAGCCGGTTCACCCCTCCTTAGGCAGCCTGGTGGTCCCCTGCTCCCGGAAGGTCACCATTTCATGCTGAACTTAGTGTGGACACCCAATCGGCATAGCGCACTACAGCCCAGAACTCCTACGCTCAAGTGATCCTCCCACCTCAGCCTCCCGAGTAGCTGGGACTACAGGCATGCGCCACCACATCTGGCTAAACTTCAAAATTTTTACCCATCAAGTCCCACCTTGGCTAAAGTTTCAAGGAAGCTGGAAACAGTGTCAGAGGAGAGATTTGACTTCAGCAAGATTCGATACATGTTCTGCAAGCATAGTTTACCATTGGCTATGTTGTTTCAAGTTGCACAGCCTATAAATGTCCCTAAATCCAAGTGGGACATTGATACTCACTCTTCCACCTAATAAATGCTCTCCCATTCAACAGAATCCACGTCATAGTCAAGCTCCTCTATAAGCTACATTACAGGTTCAGTGGCAGGGGACACTGGATTGACTATAAAGCCCAACTAATTTATGAGCTTAGACTAATCCTAATATAAAAATATTTTGGCTCTAAATGGTATAAGAATACGTGTCCAGGCGCAGTGGCTTACACCTGTAACCCCAGCACTTTGGGAGGCTGAGATGGGCGGATCACTTGAGGTCAGGAGTTTGAGACCAGCCTGGCCAATATGGTGAAACCCTGTCTCTACTAAAAATATAAAAAAATTAACTGGGTATGGTGGCAGACACCTGTAATCCCAGCTACTCGGGAGGCTGAGGCATGAGAATCGCTTGAACCTGAGAGGCACAGATTGCAGTGAGCCAAGACTGTGCCACTGCACTCCAGCTTGGGTAGCAGAGCGAGACTCCATCTCAAAAAAAATAAATAAATAAAAGAATAATATGCATCCATATTACTTTATACACACATAGGTATTAGCACAGAGATGAAAGGAAGGCTTTCTACTTAAATTTTTTTTTTTTGAGACAGAGTCTCACTCTATAGCTTAGGCTGGAGTGCAGTGACATGATCTTGGCTCACTGCAACCTCCCTCTGCCTCCAGGTTCAAGTGATTCTTCTGCTTCAGCCTCCCAAGTAGCTGGGGCTACAGGCACACACCACCATGTCTGGCTAATTTTTGTATTTTTAGTAGAGGCGGGCTTTCACCATGTTGGCCAGGCTGGTCTAGATAGAACTCCTGACCTCGTGTTCTGCCCGCCTCGGCCGCCCAAAATGCTGGGAAGGAAGGCTTTCTAAAAGGGAGCTTTTCAAACTCCACATCAATGCAATCCCTCACTCTTACATCTACTCCCATTCTACTGTGGAAGGAAATGCACTGGGCCAGAAAATGTGCTACAAATCCAGCTATGGTACCTCATTATCACACTATCCTCAATAAAAGTTCAGTGGATCTTGTCCAGTATGCACCAACCCTAAACACAAGTGCTCATCACCGAATAGAACTGTAGATGATCAAAGTCCAGACCTTTTTAAGTAAAATAGAAGGGAGAAATACAGAGATTAATTGATAGGTTCCTGTATATTTGAAACTTATCTCTAAACAAGGAAAACTTCCCAGATCAAGGCCAGAGTCATCTTAAGTCATTCTACTCTCTTATTACTTTTGCATGGCCAGCAACATTTTCTGTGTATTAAAAGACATTCACTAAATTGTCAAAACACTAAAAACATAAACTTGGGAAAATCCAGAGTCATAGAATTTATTTATTATTTATTTATTTATTTTGAGACAGAGTCTTGCTCTGTCACCCAGGCTGGAGTGCATGGTGCAATCTCGGCTCACTGCAATTTCTGCCTCCTGGTTTCAAGCGATTCTCCTGCCTCAGCCTCCCAAGCGGTCCGCCCGCCTCGAGCACCCAAAGTGCTGAGATTACAGGCATGAGCCACTGCGCCCAGCCCAGAGTCATAGAATTTAAAAGGAACTAAATGAACAGATAATTCAAAATTTATTTTTATTTCAACAAGAAATGACACAATCTGGCTGGGCACAGTGGCCCACACCTGTAATCCCAACACTTTGTGTGGCTGAGACAGGTAAATCACTTGAGCCCAGGAGTTCCAGACCAGCCTGGGCAACATGGTGAAAACCTGTCTCTGTGAAACACAGGAAAAAGAACAGCCATGCACGGTGACATATGCCTACAATTCCCAGCAACCCAGGAGGCTGCAGTGGGAGGATTGCTTGAGCCCGGGGAGATCGAGGCTGCAGTGAACTGTGATTGTGCCACTGCACTCCAGCCTGGGTGACAGAGTAAGAGACCCTGTCACAAAACAAAAGAAAGAAATGACACAACCTTTTTGAATCAGTAAGCCTGTCCCCCTATTCAAAAAAGTTAACAATTTTATTTACTCATTCTCCAAACATTTACTAAATACCTAATTTTTGCAAAGCACGGACAAACATATTACAAGGAGTCAATATGTCCTCAAAGAATTCTTCATTCTGAATTTCAAAATACCTGAATCTATGAATTCATTCAACAAATATTTTAGACAGGCCTCCATGCTACATGCTGCATGCTGGGACTTCTATGGCAAACAAGATACAAGTTCCTGCTCTCAAGGAAGTTAGAATAAAAAGGAGGAAACAGATAAGAAACTGATATCATTAAACTTTATGTGCACCAATGAACTATTTTTTATATTTTTTATTTTTCATGCCTCTGAGACAAGTTCAAGGCCAATTAACTATTAAAAACAGATGCAAAAAGGATATCTAATGGAGGAGCCTACATATACAAAGTAGGCAAGCTGTGCTCAACCACTCCCTTCTTTCAAAAGGCTAAATGGCAGCTTGGTAGGAGAACTACCTGAGCAAACCACTCAATTTCTTCATGCCTGTGTGCCTATTAAAATGGTAATAATAATAGTACCTCATAGAACTGTTGAAAGGACTAGATAAATTAAAGGTTTAGAATTCTTCCTGGGACTTATTAAGTCTGAATAAAGCTTCGGTATTATAATCAGTAAAATCAAAAGTAAAAATTGGCTTTTGGTTAATGGTCTGGGAACTTGACACACACACACACACACACACACACACACACACACACACACACACACATATATATATTTTTTTTTCATAGAAAAATGCCTCCTGACCTCCAAATTTCCTTCACAGTTCCTCCCATACTACAATTAATGACGTTTACAGGTTCACATCTTCCCTAAACTCCAGCTCCTATAGGCCCCATGCCAGCCATTTCTATTGCCCCAGGGCCTAACCCAATGATGGTTGAATGAGCAACAAAGAACATGCTGAAAATAGAACTTCAGGAACCCATGTATACAATTTTCCCTCCAAAGGTGTAAACAGGAAGTCCAGTGATAACAAGAATGTGGAAACTTTCCTCCTTCAACTCCTGGTTATCTTATCTCAAAACCACCAGAAGAAAAAAAAAAAGCAGTCTTAGTTTGAAATGTTTCAAGTAATTATCAATCTCGAACTTTACTTTCCCCCACTCCCAACCTCATCACAGTTCCTTCGCAGCACACTCTCCAGCACACTGGGAGAGGCCTCCATGTTTGTTGGTTCTGATGGGACAAGTAGCCAACGCGCTAGCTTCTGCCACTAGTGCAGCACATTTGTGGTGGCTGTGGTAGTTGAGAGGAGGGATTTTGATGTTTCTGCAGCTATCATGGCAGTCTTCACAGACTGGATGTTTTTTGCTTTTTAATTGTTGTAATTTAAAGGCAAAGGAAAAAGAAGGGAATAGTGTTGGTCTCAATTTGTGTCATCCTAAAACATAATCAGATTTTATATCCAATCTTTGGTCTGAGGTCAGGGTGAAGAATTGCAAAGAAATGTCGTGGGACCCAAGTCTGAATGTGAAATTCATTTGTGTTTCATATATACCTTATATGCATAGCCAAAAGGTACTTTTGCACAAGATTTTTTAAAATTTTATACATAAAACTGTCCAGATATGATGGTTCACGCCTGTAATCCCAACACTTTGGGAGGCCAAGGCGGGTGGATCACTTAAGGTCAGGAATTTGAGACCAGCCTGGATAACATGCCAAAACCCCATCTCTACTAAAGATACAAAACTTAGCCAGGTAGCAGGCGCCTGTAGTCCCTGCAGGTAGAGGCATGAGAATCGCTTGAAATCAGGAGGCAGAGATTGCAATGAGCTGAGATCGTGCCACTGCACTCCAGCCTGGGTGACAGAGCAGGACTCTGTCTCCAAATAAACAAATAAATAATTTTATGCATGAAACAAAGGGTATTTTTTAATTTTTTTTTTTTTTTTTTTGAGATGGCATTTCTCTCTTGTTGCCCAGGCTGGAGTGCAATGGCGCGATCTCAGCTCACTGCAACCTCTGCCTCCCATGTTCAATTGTTTCTCCTGCCTCAGCCTCCTGAGTAGCTGGGATTGCAGGCATGTACCACCATGCCTAGCTAATTTTTGTATTTTTAGTAGAGGCAGGGTTTCACCATGTTGGCCAGGATGGTCTTGAACTCCTGCCTCAGGTGGTCCACCCACCTCAGCCTCCCAAA